TGGCATGTGCTTTTCACCTCTGCAAAGTTATTGATCGCATTGCGGAAAGATTAAGGTTTTCTTCCAAAAGGTGGTAGTAAGTATGCAGAGAAACAAAGAAAGAATATCACAAGCGATTCTGACAAAAAAATTATTATTTAAAAAAACAGCCTCATATTTCATTCACGACAGCGTAAAAGTCCAACCGTCCAAATGAAAAAGTAGAATGCAAAGTGTGACATCATCCAAAATTAACCCCGTTTAATGTTATGCAACCGTGGACATGGTTTTTTTAATCGATAAATAAACAATGCAAATAGTCGCAACTATTTATTGACAGTCGCCACGACTACTGATATTCATTAGTTGCCCACACCTAAATAATATGCGTAAGTCCTCTCAAGGATCAAAATCGGAAGCCCATGAAATATGCAGCTTGTAAACATCTTAGGCCCACCAGCTTAGAATTTCTGTTTCGGGTATAATGAAAATGGCCTGCTGGCAGAATCTAATCACCTTTACTTTATACTACCTGAAGGATGTGTTTCAAATGGAGGGTCTCATGAGCAGAAAAGCCCTCAAGCAGGTCGGCCAATCAGCAGACTGTACACCCTGAAAAGCTACCATTTCTCACAACTACTTGTAGATAGGCAGCTCCCCGGGTACCGTTATTTCTAAACAATATTTTTCGTTTTTCAATGGGCTCAGTTTAGACCTTCGTTACCCGGAATGTCCCTTCCCTCCCAAAGTGTAATATAACAGTGCTACTCTGCAACAGGATTTTCCATTCTAGTAAGAAAACACTCACCTCTGTTTACCTTCCCTCCCTGTTAAAAAAAAAAGACAAGAAAATTGGGAGAGAGACCTAAAAACAAAAAACCAAAAAAGCTAGGACGAGTGGTAGTGCTACATATACATGGCCTTGTATGGGGGGGGCATGCAGTGGGCGTGGAGGGTGTGGCTTAGGTGATTTTTAGCGAGGTTTGATGCGCATGCATGCAGATATGCAAATGTACCCCGGTAGGTAAACAGAGATGAGTGTTTTCTTACTAGAATGGAAGATCCCGTTGGAATTTAGGAATTCTTAAACGAGTGTACACATCCTTTATGGAACAGATATGTGATAAAATTTTGTGTGTTTAAATGTCATCTGGCAACAAGTGGTTAAACAGGTGATATTAATGACCCTGGCTATCTTTGTAAATTTTAGAGCACAGCTGTGTTTCATGAAAATGCTCAAATGCTGGGCTCCTGTAGATCTTGTACCGGTAGTGAATGGCACTTGCTGTGCATTTTACTGAGTACATACACATGTACATGTATTTGTACTTTATCTTGGCCTTACAACACGTACAAGATGGTAAATCAGTTGAATAGATATACATCTACATTTAACATGTATGTACATGTACATGTGTGAACATGAACATTTACAGTCGACTCTTACCGGTATGTCTCGAATTTGGCTATAACAAAACTCCAGTTATAACAAACACACATCTTTGGTCCTGGCAAAAATGTGCACATTTCTATTAGGAGAAAATCTGTTTGAGGGAAATCGCATTGTACAAAATTGCTGTTACAATGAAAGGTTTTTGTGACTCTATTGCATGAAAAGCATCTTTGACAACCCATTTATAAGAGCGTTTACAAATCATGGTGGTGAAAACACGTGCACAATGCAGTTGAAGCAATGCTGCACTGGTTCCCACAGTGCCGAACCATCACTAAATAAGGTTTGGAAATGCAGCAACCAGTGCATGTACATGTACGTATACCAGGTCAAAACAGGGTTGTACATCGCACGCATTGTCTACGAATGCAGCTTTACAGTCACAAGTCAAAAAAATCAAAATTTCTGCAAATTCATTCACAGAAATTTTTTTTTTTAAACTTTACAAAACGAAGGTTTGGTACGTGGGCATTGCCGTTTGTAACTTTCTGGGGGGGCCTCTTCTGTTTTATGTCCTCTGTAGCCACCATCACTGTCTTTGCTCGACTCCCTCTGGGTCTAGTAATCCCAGAAGATGGTGCACCATTTGTCGGCTTACACAGGCCCTTATAAAGGGATCTCAGGGGTGCACTGAAGCAAATAATTTCACATTGACAGCAGTAATAAATCCCCATACTTCACAAACATTTAAAAAATACAACTCTCACAGGTGTTCTGGCTGCACAGAAAAATGATAATTGACATGTCTTCTTTCAGCTTTCAATTTTTAGTGGGTTGACCAATCAATTTTTGAGAAATTCTCACCCAAAGTAGACCACCCTAAAATGAAGGAAATTTCACTGCAAGGAAAAGTAGCCATTTGGAAAATGCATCAACCTGCAAAATGGCTAAATGCACGTAGTGCCACTTTTGGACCTGATTGCATCCAAATTGCTCAGAATTGGAAGCCCAGAGTCCGGGCCAGAGGTTCGGTGCCTTATTTCTTCAATTCCCCAGTTCCATGGCTCTCAGGACCCTCTAATATATTTGTAGAATATTTTGAGTGTGTAACTTTTACTCAACGTAGTCACCAAAACATTTGTTGTAGCTGGGATTTCATTGTAACAAGTTTTCTCCCCATAGAAATGTGCACATTTTTGCTGGGACCACAGATACATGTATGTGTTTGTTATACATGTAACTGGAATTTTCTTACAGCCGATTTTGTAATAACGAGAGTCGACTGTACAGCACATGTAGGAAAGTACAAACCAGTTGGAAATGTTATGTGTGCTGTATAAATGTACATGTATATATGTGCCAATTACATTTTGTCCTCTTCGTCAAGACTCACCATGTACAGTATTACCATTTGCACCACCGTTTGAAGAAGTGGTTGATTCCTTCATTCATAAAATGCAAATTAGCCTTAGCATGCAGTGCACAACTCCCCCCTGGAACCACTTAAGCGTGACTTTGTTTCTTGTGTTTACCCGATAGTTGGGCACGCATGTTTGGGTATATGTACATGTACAGCTTTGTTTCCATGTGTTTTGCCTAATATCCCTTGATGCCTCACTTGTCTTCAGCCTACCACCCATCTTGATACCTCAGACAAGATATTCAATGTACATGTGTATCTTCAAAGAGACATGCTTCAGTGGTTTCGGGGGGGGGGGGTATTACACTGCATGCTAAGGCTAATTTGCATTTAGACCTTTACATAATAGGAAAGTTTTGGTAGAAATACATGTACATACATGTGTACATGTACATCATGTATCGGTAGTTTAGCTTTATGATCTACATATACGTGTAGTTACAGTCATTTTTTCTGACAATTTTGCATGTGCATACGGCATGTTCTTCATAAAATGGACCAAAATGCAACTTCGGCTGTCATTTTTTCAAAACTTCTAAAAGAGTGACTTTGATCATGTAAAATACAAATTAGCACCTTCAGATTTATAAAAATAATTATATGGGGATAATTAGGCATAATAAGTACTTATGGTGGCCATTTGGTATTTCTTAGGCTTAGTGCAAATCAAATGGAGTTGAATTCATTTAAAGTTTTATGTCAAAGTGTTTACACCAGAGGACTTGATTTCAAAACTTCAAAAACAAGAAGGGGAATTCAGTATATTTTTCGACTTATGTATTTTAAAGCACCTAAGAAATAACTTTAAAAAAATATAAGCCACAAAAAAAAAGCTCAAAATTGACAGAAAATGATGAGAAAAGTTTGGCTCTCTTCATTGTCTCTCACTATACCAACATATTTGCCAGGTCTTGTATATTTCGACCACCAAAAATTATCTTTAAGTTTGGCTGCATCAAAAATTTATAATGAGTACAATATATTTATTGCGAATATTATATTTTACATGTTTGACAGAATTTTGATCACGTTTGATAATTTTGACAGAAACTGCATTATGTTCGAGAATACCGAAAATGCTGTCACATGTAGTGCTCGAAAATTCCATGCGCGATTTTCATTTTGCCGGTTATTTTGGGGAGAACTTTGCTGAAAATAAAATTAAAATTAACAACTCTGAGCATAGGCTTTTCATCTTGAATCGTATTTTATGTCTCGAACGTTATTTTTCCGCGAACGTTATTCAGAATGACGGATTTTCTTTTAAGAAAAATTGTTCCGAAGAGAAAAATCGTGGAACATCGCCATTCCGTGGAGGGGTTCATGAATATCGAATAAAAAAGAGGGCGCACTATCTGGGTTGATGTCAAAGGTCAAACAGGCCACAATGTAGCAAAATGTTTCTCTAACGTCACCGCGAGAGATTGATAGAAACCGCAAAATCGCCACGATGAGTATTTTGGACTGCAGTTTTCGGGAACATATTTGAAGAAAATGTGATCGGTCCAGTCGTAAAATGATGATGGTTTGGCGGTGCTTTTTTGCACTCTTTTTTTAAAGCTTGTGTTGTACATCGATATATGGATTTTACTCGCTTTTTTTGCAGTTGATTTTTTTGACACTAATGACAGAATCGAATGACATTCGGGACTGCTGACTTCGGAACCCGATTGATTGTGAGAGCTCCTTCTTAATTTCGTAATTATGGTTTTGATATGTGTACTAAATGAAGAAAGCTTGCAAAATTATTTCCCCACTACCAGAGAAAATCTATGAAAATTTTTTCCCTCTTGTGAGAAAAAGGGCAAAAATCTTTTCTCACTTGTGGGAAAATCTGTGAAAATCTTTTCCACTTGTGGGAAAATGTGTGAAAATCATTTCCCACCTGTGGGAAAATCTGTGAAAATTTTTTCCCATTTGTGGGAAAAAGCTTGAAAATCTTTTCCCACTTGGGGGGAAAATCTGTGAAGAATTTTCCCACTTTTGGCACACTTTTTCACAATTTGTGAAATGAAAAAGAATTCCCTTGGAAGAGAAAAAATGTGACAAACTTTTCCCATTTTGGTGTTGACTTTCAATCGCAATGTACTGTACACCTGTAAATGTTGGTTTACTTGAACCACCCCTCCCCCCAGCATACTGGCCCGTAAAGGGACATTTGGTATCAGTTGTCAACATTTATGTGTACTGTATGTATTCGTCCAACAGGTGTCAGACGACCTGAACACATCAAAGAAAGGGCAATTTCTGCAGTGAGACCCTCACTCAGTATGAGTGGGGGTGATGCTATGCTTAGTTGTCACCTGTGTGGTTACTTGGCTACATCCCCAGTCTATCTTGCCCAACATCAAAAACGCCACGGCTTAGAGTACGAGGGTCCTTGGCGCACTTGTGACCACTGTAATTTTGCAACGAGATCTGTACAAGAATTCCGGGCACATGCAAAACAACACACTCGTGAACTTCCCCAAGATTTTAAGTGTGTTGATTGTGGAAGGAGCTACCAGACACTGAAAAACTTTGAAAAACATTGTATTCAAGTCCATAAAAAGGATTTGTCAGCTATGGAAGAAGGACGTCAAACTGAAGGGAGTAGTGGAAATGAAACCACAGGTAACACATTTCAGTGCAGTGAGTGTGAATTCACATGCAAAAGCCATGGTAGCATGTGGTACCACCAAAAGAAGATGCATCCAACAGAAGAAGACAAACAAAAAGAATGGCACTGCTGTCAAATTTGTGGTCTGACATTTGTTTATAAGCAAAGGTACTATGCCCACATGGAACAGTACCATGCTCTCTCCATGGACGAACCTGTTGATAGTGAAGAAATGCCAGTAGATGATAGCTCTCCATCCCATGAAGGAAGCCAGTCCCCTACTGCAGAGAAGCATGATTTGACACCAGGCCAGCTTATCATCAAGTCAGAGGCATTGTCTGATGTTGAGCCAGATGGTGAATTAGAGCAGGAGGAAGGCACCTGGGTGGATCATGAAGATTCTAATGAAAATATGATGTTGTCCCGTAGTGAGATAGGTACAGTCCGTAGGCCCAGCAGTGAAGGCGATGTTGACATTGAGAACAGAAGTGCTGGGAATGGCCATCTTGATGACCACGATGAAGAGCCACCAAGTTTACGCCAAATGCTTGAAAGAGGCCCCAGCCCTGGGAGGCTTGTTGGTAATGATGATTCTCTTGAACATAGACAGGGGGGTGTAGGATTCCCTTGTGATGATTGTGACTTCGTTGGTGCCTCTTCAAGTGGGCTTTGGTATCATCGCCGTAAAGTACATGAGCCAAACAAAATGGCCACCTGTCCACACTGTGATTACACTGCAGTAAGTAGTCGTGATGTTCAAAAGCACTTACGAAAACATACAAATGAGCGACCTTTTGATTGTAAGTACTGTGAACGAAACTTCACTCAGAAAAACCATCTATTCAATCACATTATTACAATCCATAAGGGGGAAAAACTTCCCACAGAAGTTGCAGAAAGCAAAGGGGCTGCTTCCCAGTCACCTGAAAGTAACAGACCTTTCATATGCAATCAATGTGGCAGAGCCTTTGCAAGAAAAAACTTGTTGCAATTGCACAAAATGACCCATGGTGTTGTGCAAGATCAAAAAGAGGGAGAAGGCAGTGTTGATGACCAAGATTTAGAGGCAAGTACTGAGGCGTTACAAGTAGATTCAGATGTTGCTGGTCCAAGTGGCACACAGAAACAAGTCAAAATTGCCTTCGAAGAATGTCAGTGTACCATTTGTCAGAAATCTGGCCCAAATATGGTTGGATATAATTACCTGAAAGAGGGTCTTGCACCAAGCGGGAGAAAAAGATTTGAATGCACCCTTTGCCGCAAAGTATTTCCTGCCCTTTGTAAATGCCTAAGCCATATCAAATTGCTACATGCAACTGCCAGTGGAAACCCATATAAATGCAGAAATTGTGGGAAATGTTTCCTGGCAGTGACATCTCTATGTGGTCATATGAGAGCACATCGTGAACGCAAAAAGTTCAGCTTTCAGTGCGGCATCTGTGAAAAAGTTTTTCAGATTGGGGAAGCTCTTAAAAGACATGTGGTTGCCTTTCATAGCAAAGCTATCTCAAAAGAAGCACTGGCAGCTGCAGCAAAGCAGAGTTCCAAACTTAAACTGAAAATTAGACTCCCAAAACTTGCAGACAAAATACTAGCAGAGAAATTGGCAAGTGGTAGAGAAAACAGACTGCAAGATGACAAAATGAAAGAACAAATGGCAGGAGGTAAGAAGCGTGCTCTGCCTAAAACAATGACTTGCAATAAATGTGGCCAGAGCTTTACTCAAGGGAATTCTTATGTCCGACACATGTGTAAACACCTTAATATCGTACCCTTTGACTGTAAAAAGTGTGGGAAATTGTTTTCCTCTCAAGCTGTTCTGAAAGCTCACATGCAGCATCATAACAATGCCCAGATGTACCAGTGTATCAGGTGTTCATTTAGAGCCAAGTATCTTACTCAACTGTATACACACATGGAAAAGCACTTTGGGAAAGGTGTTCACGGTTGTGTGTACTGCACTACGAGGTTCACTAAAAAGTCCAACATCAAAAAGCACATCCTAACCAAACATCGTGGGAAGCGTCTGGCATTTGAGGACTACACTGCAACAGTTCAAGCAGATGATGAAGACACTCTGAACGAAGAGGGAGATAGACAGGAGGTGGTGCCTAATGAGTCAGAAATCATGGATTCTAGCCCACAACCACATCCAGTCAATGTATATCCAGCCCCAGCTGCAGCGAGTCCAAACAGATCAAATTCTTCTAAACAGTCAGTTGCTGGCAATGTGCGAGTGGAAATTTCACAGCCAGATAGCAGTCAGATTGCTGAAGATCGTCCCCCGAGTACATTAAGCTCAGAGGGATCAGTCCACACAAGTGTATCAGCTACACACAATCCAACTAAGAATAATACACATCAAGTTAAAGAGGCCAAAGCTCAGACTATGCCTTCTCCTGCCTCAAAGAAAGAACCAGTCTCAGAACAGAAATGTGCAGATTGCCTGTCCAAAATATCAAGCAATCTGAAATGCACCCATTGTGGTATAATATTTCTTGATATGGTCATGCATACCATTCACATGGGATGGCATGGTCGGAATGATCCATTTGAGTGCCACACCTGCGGTCGAAATTGTGGGGATAAGTATGGATTTATCACCCATATATTTAGAGAGCCTCACAATTGATAGCATTTTGAGAAAATCTGGAGGTGAAATAGCTTGAAACAGCCTATGTTATGATCATTTATGATTAAAAGCACTTTATGTGTCTGATTTTTTTGTCTTTTTTTTATTTTTTAATGTTTAATAATGTTAACGAATTTAGCCTGTAATGGTAGTTACCCGGTACCTCTGTGAAGCATGTCAACAATTTCTTTGAGAATTGACTGGATTTTTTAGCACCCTTGCATGTATTTGTAAGATAATTATTTGAAGTACTGTAAACTACATGTATGGCTTTTTTATATTTCTGGAATAATGGCATGTGCCATAAGTGTATTTGTTTTTTGTGGAAGTTTGCCCATGCTTGTTTCACTTGTACGGTTTGTTCAAAAACTGTTGGTTTTAGTGTATAGATACATTTACTTGTATATGAGCACATTTCAGAGTGGACATTCCCATTGAATTTTGCACTTGTATGAGGTGACAGCAGTAGACCATTTGTTACTTGCAAGTACATGTACATGTACAGTTCCAAATAGACGAGGATGATGTGTACCATAAGGTGGGAATTTTGACATCTATGTACATGTATTTGTAGATGATCTCACGAAAGCTAGACTTGCTAGTGTGCCGGTGTCTTTACTCAGTCTTTTCTTGGTATATATGTACAGAATTGCTTTGTTCAGGTAATGCTTGTACATGTAGTACTGTTATTATAGGTAGAGTGAAAAGCAGGAAAATGGAGATTTTAGAATTTGCTCTGCATAATCTTGTTGTGTTGTCAGCGTGTGCTTATCAAGGTTTAAGTTTACTGATGCAGTATGTCATAATTCTAATTAAGTACAGCTTGACTTTCTGTGGTTTAATCAAGTCCAGGGCCTCCAGGCAAGGTAGTACGCAAATGATACACTTCTCTTTTTGTTCCTGTCGATGAATTATTTCAATATTTCATTTATGTATTGGCTATTTTGATTATTTATTTTGGGGCTGTCTTTTAGTCTTCACTGGAAATGCTTGTAATTCAAAGCAACTTTGGTCTAGGAATACAGTATACAATGTACGTGTACATGTTTAATTAAGAAACCATGTCATGACATGAAATGATTTTTTTCTCTCCATGATTTGGACTGGTGTGTCTGAACCAAATACATGTATTCTTCTGGTCACTGACTCAAACATGATGGATATAATTTGAGCCTTGAACTCTGCAGATTGAATCGAAAACGGTTGTATTTCAATTTGCATGAATAACAAGCTGTCACTTTTATATGAAGAGATGTCTAGCATCAGTAAATTGTTCACAGTAAGTGAGAGTAGCAAATGATAACATCACTCCAGAACTAGAGATTGCTGGCAGCGGGCTTTTCCTAGAAATTGTGTATTTAGTGTGGATATTGCAGATTTGGACGGATAACATAGATGGCTGCAATCTTTTTAACAGTGTGTGACTTATACCAATGCATGTTTCATTCAGAAGCTGTGAATGAATGTAGGCAAGCCCTAGCTGTCAGCTATGTGGCAACGAAAAGTTTCTTTGGTAGCAGCTTCCTTTCCTGTATATATTCGCTAGTTTAGTGTAAGGCAGCCTGTGATCAAACATTAGAAGTCATGTTGATTAGAGATAACCGACACTATAAACATGTGCCAACGTTGATACCACTGCAGCAACAGGAGTTGAGTACATTTCTCTTTTTCTACCTTTTTCTTCATTGTCGTCTAGGCAGTTCCACACAAAAGTGGACACGTGATCACACTGTTAGTGTTACCGACCTTATCATTAAAGCCAATTCTTAAAAAGAGGTTTTTGAAAAAGCTTGAAAATGCTAAGTAGTACCACTACTTGTACCTTTAATTCCACTTTCATTTTTTGTAAAACACCTTTTTGTTCATCAATTACAACTATTAATGATAATAATTAATAATGTCATTGACGGTGTGACTTGATGCAACTTTTATGAGGAAATGCCCATCTGCATAAGTGTTCAGTGAGTAATGGAACTGAATTAGTAAACTTTTCACAATCCACTTTGAATTAAAACATGCAGGGTACCATCATGACTGGTTTTTTTTTATTTGTTTGCCTTAAGTGCTGCCTTTCGTTTACTTCCCATGGATAAAATGAAATGAGGTTTTTGGCCCTTTCATAATTGTTTTCGATCATCTTTGTTATCGTTTATTTTAATGATAAGTTGCATTTTGTATAAAATAGCCTCATTGTTCTGAGAACCTGTATCAAATAATAAATGCCAAATTGTTCCAAAACAGGCACTCAATTAAAGCCTGGGTTTATCATCCCTAACTGTATAAACTTAGGGTTGGTCTGATGTCTTCAAGGATGATGTCCTCAATTTCCCTTCAAAGATCATCACTTCCAGTGGCATATGGCGGGGACTGGGAGGGATATGGGATGATGTAAATTTTAAAAAATTGCACATCTGTGATATGTACACTTTACACCCTGAACCTAAGTTACGTCAAAACAGCGTAGCCCCCTCTCCCCTTTTTCAGTGTTGATGAATACAATTTGGTTGTTGGAAGTCCGAAAAATTCCTCGAAATTAATTTTCTGTTCACCTCAAAAAAGTTTGGTTATCATTCGGTAGCCCCTTGCCCCGATCAAAAGTTGGAAGGGGGGGGGGACTTACCCCACACCCCAGCGTTTATGCCCTTCGGTCACCTTCCGAGGTTGACAAATTTCCGCTTCGAATTGTGCCAGCTGCCCTTTCTAAAGGCGCCGAGAGTGTCTTATATCTTCGAGAGTATCTTATATCGCTAACCAGGGTTTGTTTGTAAACTGCCCGGGGAAACACTTTCGTATGTGTTAATAAATACATGCATTTGTAGAAAGTTACCCCCACAGTGCTAGTGGTGTGTGCTACACACGCAAAGCTTGTCTGTCTTGCTAACACCAATGCTATTACTCAATATACATGAACGTGTACTGTACACACCTACCCCGCGTACTACGCACCGGCCGACGGACTATGTAGGACTATATTTACATGTACATCATTTGCACAAGTCGGCGAATGGGTTCAAAATGCTCGCACTAGATCAGTGTTAAACCTTAGCCCAAGGCCAACCCCTCCTAAAGGACCCCACTCTTCATAGACCTCCCCCCCAGCAAAATGTGGGTCCATCCCTATATGACCCCACGAGTGTAGCAAAACTGCGGCTGTTCGCAGATCCAGATTGTTAGAAGGCGCTCTTAATAGAGTAGCGAACTTGCCAGGTTAAAATCGACGTTTGTGAATAATGAACAAAGAAGAGAATTACTTCCAAAAACGTGATTTACTCTAAAAGAACAAACTTCCAGCAACCTGAGAAACCAGAGGTTTCCATTCCTTGACATTTCGGTACGTGGCAACCATTGATATAATACCCCGAATGTGCCTTGCACTCGAGCCATCAGAGTCGAGTCCAAGTCGCGAGTCACTTTAATACCCGAGTCCGAGACTGGAGTCTCGAGTCGCTTAATAACTAACTGTCCAAGAAAAAAAAATCTAGAAGCAGTGGGTTAATTTGACTTATTTTGTGTAATGTGTGACTATAATCATGTGCATATGCTTCACCGAACACCATTGATTGGAAAAAGGTATGGTAAAGGCTTACACTTAGTCTATTGGAAATCAATGGAACATACATGTACATAAACGTAAAGCGAGTCCTAAACGTATTCCAAAAGTTGCGCGCTTACGCCCATCAACAACAGACATAATTATAAGGGTGCGTTCGATTAGCTTACACGTACGTGTAAGTCAAACTTACACGAAAGAATTTGCTTAGCCATCACGTGATCTTCGTGCCTGCCCTGGTGTCAGCCACGTGCACCATTACTCTGGCTGGCGAGCAACGTCTCTGGAGGCTGTCCGGGTGTAGTGACGTCACGGATGGACTGTTCGAGCATGGACGTACATGATGGAACGTGGCGGGGACTTGACCGTTTTCCCAGCATGCCTTGGAGAATACGCTGCAGCGTTCGATTAGCCTCATTTCGAGGCTTCCCTTGGTGTAACACTGGTGTATTCAGGGAAGCTAATCGAACGCGCCCAATATGGGGATCAACGGTATTCACCTTATAGGCGCGTCATGGGGCGCGCATGTATATGCGCGTTTGACGCGGAGCAAGCTTAGTTCGCACAACTAATTTATTGCAGCATGTATGGTCTTTGCATACACGCAGAACGCGTGCAAGAACCACGGACGTGT